CTGATGCAAGCTTGAAGAGCACTTCGTGGCGGAATGCCAAACCGAAATTTGAAATCGTTACGACGAACCGGGTCATAACTCCAAAAGTTGCAGTAAGGAATGTAAGAAATGCGGGGTACACCACGCTTTCCGCACATGCAAAGCGAGAACCTTCACTCCTGTCGTAGGCTTTAAGACAGAGAATGATGAAAGGACAGTAGAAAATAAAGTAAAGGAATTACTGGGTAATGTCATGGATACAGTAATTGAGAATGTAAAAAATGAAGTAACGGAATTACTGGGTAATGTCATGGATACAGTAATTGAGAATGTAAAACATGAAGTAAGGGAATTACTGGGTAATGTCATAGATACATGTACAGTAATTGAGAATGTAGAAAATGAAGTAAAGAAATTACTGGGTAATGTCATGGATACACTAATTGAGAATGTAGAAAATGAAGTAAAGAAATTACTGGGTAATGTCATTACTGTATCCATGACATTACCCAGCAATTCATTTACTTCATTTTCCACATTCTCAGTTACTGTATCCATGACATTACCCAGTAATTTCTTTACTTCATTTTCTACATTCTCAATTAGTGTATCCATGACATTACCCAGTAATTCCTTTACTTCATTTTTTACTATTCTCAGTTACTGTATATGTATCTATGACATTACCCAGTAATTCCTTTACTTCATTTTTTACATTCTCAATTACTGTATCCATGACATTACCCAGTAATTCCTTTACTTCATTTTTTACATTCTCAGTTACTGTATCCAAAGTAAATGAATTACTGGGTAATGTCATGGATACAGTAGTTGAGAATGTAGAAAATGAAGTAAATGGATTACTGGGTAATGTCATGGATACAGTAACTGAGAATGTAGAAAATGAAGTAAAGGAATTACTGGGTAATGTCATGGATACAGTAGTTGAGAATGTAGAAAATAAAGTAAAGGAATTACTGGGTAATGTCATGAATACAGTAGTTGAGAATGTAGAAAATAAAGTAAAGGAATTACTGGGTAATGTCATGGATACAGTAGTTGAGAATGTAGAAAATGAAGTAAATGAATTACTGGGTAATGTCATGGATACAGTAGTTGAGAATGTAGAAAATAAAGTAAATGGATTACTAGGTAATGTCATGGATACAGTAACTGAGAATGTAGAAAATGAAGTAAAGGAATTACTGGGTAATGTCATGGATACAGTAGTTGAGAATGTAGAAAATAAAGTAAAGGAATTACTGGGTAATGTCATGAATACAGTAATTGAGAATGTAGACTGAAAGACGAAAAATTGGAAAACAGTAAAAGCTAAAATAGGTTTATACAAAATAATTCTGGACTTTTATAAAGATATCTACAGTACAAAGAACATTGATAAGGGCAGGTGGGAAGAAATAACAAAGTATCTCCTCACACTTTCTAGTAAAAATAGCAATAGATAGTTTAGGTAAGAAAATATGCCAGGGCTAGACGGACTCCCAGGAGAGTTCTGGTCCAGAATAGGACAATCCTATGTTAAATGGAATAACATGCTACCACCATCTTTTAAGGAAGGCATAATCAGCTTACAGTGTAAGAAAGATGCCTCAGATCTAATTAAGGATTACAGGCCCCTTACACTAAGTAATGCTGATTATAAAATCTTGACAAAATGTTTTAACACAAGACTAACCGGTAAGTGTATAAAGACAAGTCTAATCGGTAAGTGTATAAATATAAAGCTAACAGTTTTTTTAGATTTACTAATTAAGTCGTCGCAAACAGCAAGAGTGCCAGGAAGAGACATTCTCTTTAATGTCAATATGCTCTAGTGTCCGAGGACGAAAGATTCTCTTTAATGTCAGTATGCTCTAGTGTCCCACGACGAGGCATTCACTTTAATTTCAATATAATCTAGTGTTCTAGAATGAAACATTTTCTTTAATGTCAGTATGCTCTAGTGTCCTAGGACGAGGCATTCACTTTAATTTCAATATAATCTAGTGTCCTAGGACGAAACATTCTCTTTAATGTCAGTATGCTCTAGTGTCCCACGACGAGGCATTCACTTTAATTTCAATATGCTCTAGTGTCCTAGGACGAAACATTTTCTTTAATGTCAGTATGCTCTAGTGTTCCAGGACGAGGCATTCTCTTTAATGTCAAACTCTCCGATGATCATCGGTTCCAACGTGTGAACGTTGCTTCATGTCTTCTGGCGCGTAATGCGCGTGAACATTTTTGGATAGAATTGTCACCAGTGATGAAAAATGGATTCTCTATGCGAATATTAAAGGCCAGAAACAATGGCTCGGTCCTAGACAAAAACAACTTCCGATCCCAAAACCTG